GGGCAGGCACCAGGCCTAACAGGGGCCAAGGGGAGACAGTGAGGAGAAAGGGCGGGGGAACTCAGTTTTGTGGTATTTTAATTACAAAAGTAATTCTATCATTTTTAAGCAATCCATGGTTCAATTTTGTAAATGTGATTGAGTTGGCAATTTAAGTTGGCAGTTTTTGGAAAGATATGAAGTTCATGTTCACTTTATTTTATAGTGTTAAAAGAAGATTGGTGTATATTCCTTCTGTTTATCCTTTTTTTAAAACCTGGGCTCTTGTCACAGATTTTAGAGGGTGCGGGGTTTGGTGGGAGGGGACAGGCTGATGCTGTGAGAGGGAAGGGGAGGGGCAGATGAGAAGGGCAGAAGGGAGACCATGGGGGCAAGAGGAACAGGCACCATGAGGACAGAGGATGGTGAAGGGAGGGGCAGGTTCCAGCCAAGCGCGGGTATTTAAATCCCGGGCTTGATTTGCAACTTCGAATGCCTACATTAGCCTCCCTAGTTCGAACTAACCAGGAGAGACACTGGCTGTGGCCATGTGAACGCTCTGCTGATCCACTGGGCAGCTGCTGAATCTCCTGAGCGCGCAGGGCAGGTGTGACAGCAGGGCCTGGATGAGCTCTCCCGGCTGCTGTCTGTGGCAGTGGGGTTGGTTCTAGTTTGTAAACAGGATCTGAAGGAGCCCCCCATGAGAAGCCGGGTCGGGGAGGTGCCAGGCCCAGCCTGTATTGCCAGGGACACGCCTGCCCTGCCTGGGGCCTGGCCCACAGAGCTGGGCTGCTGGGGATCCGTTCTGCCTGGGGCTGGGCACAAACCACTGAGGTGCCATGTGGGGTCAGGAAATGTTGGGACCCTTTTAGTGTCTGAGTGACGGGCAGCAGCAGAGCTGGGCTGGGCCTGCCTGGGGGAATCTGTGCTGGGGCTTGCTCAGGGCTCAGCTCTGGACCCACGGCGCTTGTCAGTTCCCAGCCCTGGGCATAAAAAGTTCTGCAGCACCCTACAGCCTAAAAGAGAGATGACTGGATTTCTTGTTGGTTTCTCAGGTGCTACAGGACCACTCATTGGTTTTTAAGGTTTTGTTTTTTTTTTCTTTTTAAGATACATACTCAATTGGAACCTCGGGGCTCAGCCCATCAGCTGGGAAAATAACAAACGTGCTGGAGACCAGCCCCTCTACGGTGACAGTTTAAGCCCTGGCCGTCCCCAGCCGCCCTGTGCTGGAGAGCAGGGGTGGGGCTGCCGGGGGCTGGTGAGGAGAGGGCGGGTGGCCCAGGGGTTTGCCGGCCCCTCTCTCCCATGCAGACAGAGCTGCCTGGGCCAGAGGAAGCCTTTGGCTTGTTTCAGTGACTGGCTGGTTTCAGTCACGGAGCTCTCAGGGCTGAGCCCTTCTGGGGACAGTGTGCCGGGAGGGGCGGGGGTGGGGGGCTCGGCCTGCCCCAGCCACTGCTGTTGCCCAAGCTGGTGGGACCTCGAGGGATGGGCTAAGGTCACTGGGGAAGGGGGCAGCAGAAGGTGTCGGTGCCGGGCCATTGGGGACAGAGCAGTAGAGGGAACAGTGCCGCAGAAACAGCAGCAGCCAGAACATGGGTGTGTGGGACTGGGTTTCAGAGACTTTGCTCCAGCACCCTGCTTTGTGCCTGGGAACCGCATGGGCGGGGAAAGGGGGGGGTGGAAAAAAACCCACACCACATTTCCTAGGACACCAAGACTTTTAAAATCCATTAATTGCCAACGTCGTTGTGTCACAACATCACCAGTGTGACAGGCCAGTGTCTGGGGGAGTTTCTGTATTAACTGTGTTATTATAATTAATTTTTATGCAAAATCATCCATATTGGGCCAGACCCCTGGTCCCTCTGCCCAGTGTCCTGCCTCCTGCCACTGCAGCACCTGGAGCAGCCAGAAGGAATGAGCAGAGGAGGGAATCGTCTAGTGATCCCTGCCCTGTCATAGAATCCTAGAGCTGGAAGAGACCTCAGGAGTCATCATGTCCAGCCCCCTGCCCAAGGCAGGACCAACCCCAACACAATCAACCAGGCTTGACCAAGTCCTGGCTGGGACAAAGACACCTCTAGGGATGGAGATTCCACCCCCTTCCTAGGGAACCCATCCCAGGGCTTCTCCACTCACCCAGGGAAATCATTTTTCCTCATCTCCAATCCAGACCTCTCCCACTCCCAGCATCCGGCGCACAGAGGTCAGGGACACTCAGATCAGGCTGGCACATCCCTGCCCATCCTGGCTCAGAGACACTGGCGGAGCGACCCTCCATGAATGGATCTTGCCCTTTCTGAGCCATGTTGTGACTTTGGCCTTCACCCCACCCCCAGCAGAGCCCCGCCGGCCGACTGCGCTGCATGAGGAAACGCTGCCTTGTGTGTGGGTCAGTCTCTCTGCCTGGTCACGTCATTGGGTGCCCCAGGCTCCTGTGTGCAGTGAAGGGGAAATGACACTTCCTGACTCACGTTCTCCTCACCTGCCCACATTCTCCAGGCCTTACGTGGCACCAGGTGCAAGGAGGGGGTGGGAGATGGGGCAGGTGACAAGGAGACAAAGAGAAATGAGGGGCAGAACAGGTATCACAAAGGCATAGGGGGGACCCCAGGAGGCAAAAGGGCAGCAAGGGGAGGGTGGTTATCAAGGGGGGGAGGGGCATGTATGGCAGGGGGCAGGAGCCCTCAGGAGGAAGGGGGCTGAGCAGAGGGGCAGAGAGGAGCAGGGCAGGCACCAGGGGGACAAGGGAACAGGGGAACACAGGAGGGGCAGAGTTGGGTGTGGAGAAGGGAGAGCACAAGGGGGGGCAGAGGAAAGGTGAGTGGAGGGGCAGGACCCAAAGTGGAGGGGAGAGCACCAATGAGCTAGAGGAGGAGGGAGGGGAAGGGGCAAACATCAGGGGGCCCAAAGGAAGGCAAGGGAGGGGATTTGCACGGGGCAGGCAGCTGGGAGAGATGGGGCTAGGGGGCCAGAGGAGGGGAGAACAAAGGGGTTGGCTGTACTGGATTGGTGCAGGGGACGGTGCAGGAGTCAGAAGGCAGAGGAGGGGAGGGGCAGAACTAAGGGAAAGGTGGAGGTGAGGGAAGGGGCAGG